CCGATCGCTTTGCTGCAGGATTTAAATAGATTGAGTTTACTGAAATTAAATCGTCGAGCTTTCGGGCAAGACCACCTTGCGTATTATTGTCACTAGCGAACGGTTCTCATTGAATGTTGGGTTTTTATTGCTTTCTACCTGCCGTTGTCGTCGCACCGCTATATACTGACGGTTTAACACAAGGTAGGATTATTCCGTTAAGGTACATACATTTGCACATTATGGTCATTATGATCTCACTAGTAGATGCATCAATACTCTAATGCTTTTATATGAGCCGTTTATTTTGAAAGTGGCATAAATCACTTTGCCGTAACGATCTTTTAATGTTTGTACGAAATTATTTATACTGAGAAAAATATCAGTATCCTTCTATATTTCTTCTTCTACACAGGGTATCCCATAATTATGTCAGAACCCGGGGAGAGGTGCTGAGGTCATTTGAAGTAACTTTCTCCTTGGTGAAAATGCAATCCGCGACTTTGTTTACGAGTTTCTAACGAAAAACACTGATCAATGAGACCTAACGGACGAACCCTAGCTCCGTCCATTGGTTCGGCCGTCTCGTGCCAGCTGATCTCTCATTGGTCAGTGTTTTCCCAGGGAGTGCCCGGCCCGTTGCCATTATTCGTAGGTCGTAAATGAAAAAAGCATTAACGTTATCGAATGCCACGGTGTTGAGAATTCGCGGTACAAGCGATTTATCCAGCGCTGCTTTCTGTTAGTCATTCGCGTTATATCTAATGTTGCATGGAGACAGTCGAACTAACGTGGCAAACATTGAAATGGTTGATTTATAATAATGCTGCCAAAATGATAAAAATACATCTTCTTCTACATTAAATTTCTGCTACATCTTCTAAATTTTTGTTGCAGATTCTTTTACATTTCTTGCATTCGAAAAGCACAATTTGGTAACGATACAACTACTAGTTGTAAAACTATATATTGTATATGAGTCGTTCGATTAAATTGCTAATTTTTAGATAGAAAATAGAAGTGCATCAATATATTATATAATATTATATTATTATTATATTATAATATATACTATTATATTATTATTATATTATATTATATAACAATATTAGTGCATCAAAATGCACTAATGCAACAGAGACAGCCGATCGAAATTAGAATACGAAACATAAATGTTTAAAAGCTATCGGATAATTTTCTCTGCATCTATTTACAAAGATCGTACAAGGATCAAAGTCTGGAAAAATCTGTAGGTTCCGCAATGTAACGGCGATAATGCGAATCGTATGGGGTATCCCCATGCTTTCACGAAAACGACAGGAAAGTTCGCGTCTATTCCGATGGGTTTCGTACGGAGACGGATCGGCCACAACGGGGCAATTCGAGCGATTTCATCGACGCGTGAATTGAGACGTTTCCACGGCAAATCATCGCGAGGATTTTGCATCGCGTACCGTTACATCGTTTGTGTGCACTTTTGTGGGCTCGTGGCAGATGGGAACGCGCGCTGGCATTCATCTGCCGACGACCACGGGAAAAATCGCAAATAACGGGTTGCGGTCGTCCCTGCACCATAGAAATCTGGGTTATGTGGCCAAAGGAGCAAAAATTTGTATACACAGAAAGAAGGCGGTGCGGGTGAATTGAGCGCTGCGGGGCGCTTTTCCATGGGGGGACACGGCATTTTAACGGGGGCCGAAGCGAAAGACTAAATTTGGCGTGATCTCCGGTCGAAGACATAATGAGACGTCTCTGCTATCGCGCGTAACTGTACCCTGGCCCTTTTCTACTTTCTCACACACTCGGTTCTTCTTTATATTTATAGAAATTCGACTGACCGATCACAGGGAACGTCTTCCTAACAGATGAATCGTGTTAATGTTCTTGATTTTCATCGTTTCCGATGCTGCTTAGGCACAGAGTTTTTACTTAACTACGGATTACATGTTGAGTTTAGACAAAAATCGAATACACAATGTCCGAAATTGAAGATAGAAACAAGACCGATGTAAATCTGTTTATAGATGCGGAAGATTGGCTGGAGACAATGAGGATCGATGGCGAACGCGGCTTTGGAAGCCTGCCACGTAAACTTTGTGCTGTTATGAACGAGTATTGTAGAATTCTTAACGACTATTCCGTAGTACAGTAATTTCTCCCTGTTGACGATCGGTAACTATAAAAAAACGAGTAGCGAGGTTCGAATAAACGTGTCTCCTCTTCCCAAATTGTCCACTTTTGTGCGCAATCTGAGCGCGAATTAGGGAGAAATTACTGTGTTCGCAGTTTCATTCGTGGGAGCAAAAAATTATCCGCAATAACATCATCTACCACTCTAGAAAGCATATTTCTGGTTGCACAGTTACGAATGAAGTAGAATTTGTTGATGCGAAGTGCAATGCGAAAAAGGGGCTTATTGTTCTTGCACAATTATTTCTCAGATGACTCTATTAACCATTCGAGTCCCAGGAATTATTCAGGAAACACGCTCGAAAAATGCCGAACAGCGTGATAGCGCTTGTCTTAATTGATTGCGAAGAGAACCAAGCGGCGCGATAGCGCTCGTCAAGGTTGACAAACAAAACAAAAAGAAATAAAATGAAAAAAAGCAGCTATGCGATGTATGTGTGTCACTAAAGTTTGATCGCGACACAAGAATTGAACAGCGCGATCGCGCTGCTTGGGATTCAAACGGTTAAGCGTAGTTAGCGTATGCGACGCCCATGCATCCCTTGCCGCATCGATGTCGCGTGCACTGTCGTTCCGAGCCCTGACTTAAGCGATTAATTTATTCAACCATCAGCTATAGCAATATTGTCCCGAGGCTCTTATTATATTCGCTATAATCCGTCCAACGATTCGAACAATCAGTATGGACAATCACAAAAGACGCCGAGTTTTTTTACCGTTGGCAGCCAACCCCGAGCTCGACATTAGGCAGCCAACAATTGCAATCGTCAACATCGATGAGACGAATGTCACAGAGCCATTTCGCTTACATTTGCTGTCTTGTTTCATTGGATGAACTATAGATGCTCTGTGTAAAAAATAAAAATCCGACGCTAAGATTTGTAGAGGAGAGAGTTAGCCTGAAGCGGAGATACCAAAAGATTTTTAATCATTGTCTTCCGTTCGCACATTCGTCGAAACCGTGTCCATTAATCAGAACATGCCCGAGGAAGGAGGCATTTTCCGGCTTAACGGGTTGAAAACGGCCATATGTTGTCCATCCGTAACAAGCTGGGAAGAAGAGTCATTAACGGCAACCAGCTTCAAGGTGCAAGCTTAAGCTGCTTGTAGCCTCGCTTTTCTCCGTACAAGACGAGTGCTAAGCAAATTTCGTAAATTTTACTCGGTTGCAACGCTTTCACCAGCTAATTTATGGGTAGTTTCAAATTCCGCAATTCCCCGTATCCTTGTTGACAATGGAATAACGGAATAGCACAGGGAACGGTGAGGAAACGGTTACGAAAGGGTTATGTGACGATTCTAAGGTGTTGTCAAGAAGGTCGTAGAAAGAAATACCCTAAAGGCTGCGGGGTGTACTGTCTTGGCGAAACTTTTACCGATGAGTTACCGCGTCCGTGCAGACTTAACGAGACGAACGAAATTGAAGGTATTAGTGTACAAATCGGTAACTGGAGTTTTGGAAAAACCGAAGACCGTCCTTCTAGCTAGGTGGAAGTTGAAGTTGCTTGTTGAAGTCAAAGAGCGTGCCGAGGCTTGTTGTTACAGGTACAGTAATTAACTTTCGGGTAGCAAGAATTATAAATCAAATCGAGATACCCTTGTGAAGGGACGTATTGTTTATGTGATTGGCAACACGTGGACAGTTATCTCTTTTACAGCATTTTATTGCTCAGTATTCTTGTTGCTCCAAAATAATAAGTATTCTTTAATCAACAAGATAGAATATAGAAGATAACGTTAGCGATCAAGACATTTACAGTGGCCCGCAAACGTGTTCGTACACCATACAAACCGCAATAACTTTTTTAAAATTGATCTGAATGATTTGAATTCTTCTTTTTTTTAGATGATAGAGGGACTAGTGTACTAGACAATGATCAAAGTATTTTTTTCTTTTTAATTTTGTTATTACTTGGAGCGACAAAAAAGATAAGAAGCTCTCGCTTCGTAACTTGTTTATCTGTGCTTATAAAATGTAGCAAATGCCTTCCGTAGATCCCGGTAACTTATATGCATGCTGAAAATTTTATCGAAATAAATTCATATATTCAGAAATATATCGATTTCATATTTTGAATTTAAGGTTGTTCAAATTATGAAGACTCTTATTATAGGAATAATGACTGAATAAATTAATCGAAGTATACATTCTAATAACAATAGCGAAAGATCTAATCACATCGACATTGTTATGAAGAAACGCGCGTCAGTTACTTCATCCGTATTTAGGAAATTTTTTTCGCAATTTTAATAATGAGTCTGATGCAATATTATAATGCAATGGATTAACGAAAATGTCTGCTACCTGCGGACGAGAATATGGTAATGTACCGTTTGAAAATCGTCTCGAAAGCGCAAATGAAAGCGGAAACCATCGAATAGCCGATCGATTCGTTTGTAAATACAGTAATGTCTCCGCGCAATCACGAAGCGTAATTACGCGAGCGTCGTCCGGCAAACATTTAGAAAACGGTAAGAATGACGAGAGCGTATGCCCAATCCTGTCCGCCGTTATGGTCATTGCCTGCCTCTCCCCTCCCCACCACTTTCCACAAGGAAGCCTCCTACCCTTGAGTCCTTTAAGGGTTGGCTGGTATATAAGCGAACTACAGCCCTTCGTTCTTGACAATTTTAGGATTCTCTTTGCAAGTCCGATCGTCTAAAAATTGTGTGATCATTGCGCGTTCGGAAGTGTCTTCTATCGGTCGAGTTTTGTCGTTGACGATTTTGTAGAACGTGTATGGATCGTTAGTACGGATCGATAATAGGCCCAGTGTTGTGATACCAGTGACCGGTGTTTCACCTTGGATTAATAATTAGGTAAAAGTTTGATTCTGTTCAACGACAGTTGCTCCGCGAACGCTGAAGAACACGAACTTGCATAATTAACAAGGTTCGGACGATCCGGACAGGCCGCGACCGTTTCATTCCGCACAATTCTATTGATTTCGACCAAATTTTGTATCAGACTAATTTATTGCAAAAGTGACGTTCTTCGTTTCCAAACCGTACTAGCAGTCGTCATTCGTTATTTTTCTACGATTTCAACAGACCTCGATTCATCCAATCTCTAGTACCGTTGTTGAAACAAAACTAAAATTGTTTACTTTCTCTCTAAAGAAACAGAAGTAGAAATGTTCTTCCTCATTTATTAATGTTAGTAAGTTAAATAATCTATATTCTTAAACTCTGTCAATCTCTGCATCGTTTGACGTCTCATTTGAGTTTTAAATAAATTTCTGTCCGAGATTCTTAGCATAATCAGCAATCTAACAATTAATAATTTAAATTTTCAGTTATAATGGACTCGCTTTCGCATACGATGCTGGCATTGGACTTTACTACAACGAACAATAATTCGACTTCAGACTCGTCCGAGCCTGCAATCCTGGACCTTTCCTGCAAAAAGAATATTTTGCTGTCATCGCAGGAACAAGCATCTTGTAGTTCAAGGTCAAATTCGCCAGCCAGCAGCGAGAAACAGCCGCAACGTAGCCATTTCCCCGGTTCGGAGGCGAAGAGTCCCTTCGAAGCTCGTTTATTTATGTTAACGCCTCCGTCAGATTCGGATTCGCCAAAGAGCAAACATGGACCGATATACAACTGCTTCGGTATATCGAGCAACAACGCGATCGAACAAATTAGGACGTTTTCGATGCAGCCGATTCCGGTGGTTCCCACCGTGATGAATGACACCATACCGATTTCACTGGGGGTTGGAACCTCTGTTCCATCTCCGTATGGAAGCGACACAGAGATCACCTCGGAGATGGGTAAGAAGCTGCAAAGACCCTTCAAGGCTTACCCTAAGGACCCGTTGACCTTCACTGCAGGCAGAGCCGAGGCGATATACGACCAGGAGTCCACAGAAGCCTATTCCGAATTTCGGAAACGGATGCTGGAGACTGTCAAGAAATCAAACGAGACGACCAACATCAAGATGAAACGAGTTAGCAAAAGCCCTATACTGCCAACCAGTACTGATGACGAGAAGGATGCTGCCTATTGGGAGAGAAGGCGGAAGAACAACGAAGCTGCAAAGAGATCAAGGGACGCAAGAAGAGCGAAAGAGGATGAAATAGCAATTAGAGCAGCGTTTCTTGAACAAGAAAACATGAGACTTAGGTATGAAGTGATTGAACTCAGGAAGGAGACAGCAAAACTCAGATGTTTAGTATACTCAAAATAAGATTATTTATTCTATGGAAAGTTTATATTGTTGATACTCAGGATTTTATAAAAAAATGCGAACTGTATCTTGTCAGATTAGTCTACCTCATATACACTTTTCTTTTCTGTTAGTATACAATAGATTTCAGTTATATATCTAGATCTGTAAATTTCAATCGCGTAGGAAATATGCCTCCTATACATTCTGTGGGCGCCTCTTTTGGCTCGGAGCACACCGTGATCATGTGCTTGTCGCTATACGTGAGATTATGTGTTTGTAGAATTGCAGTGACCACGGGTAAGCGAGAGGCGCGACAGAAGTCCAGAGGCGTAATTCTCGCGATCACTATGCTTGGTAGGAATCGGTCCACCCACTTAACTATGCAATTTAATATATGTATACAAGTTATATAAGATGGACGTTGAGAAGACAAAGGGGGTGAAAAATGATTTACAGTAAATAATTAATGATAAGCGGTGCAGTAATAAATGGATTACATGGTAGCAATGCACCCGCTACATTTTTACAACATTTACAACATTCCTAGTAATGAGCTTTATCAAAACATAAGTATCACAATTATATATTATACCAGCGTTGGGTATACTTTAACAATTCAAGCACTGATTAAACGAATTTATTGAAATAGACATGCTTATTGGATGAAGAATCAATGACGAAAAAGATGTAGTTTTATAGTGCATAAATACCTCGAGCTATTCTGTACATACATTGTTGCGTATTTTCAACGAACAGAGTCAATAAAGAGAATGATAAAGCTATATAGTACAGGAACACCTTAAACTATTTTGTGTAATACATTGTTGCGTATTTAAGATATGTTTTTAATAAATGTTCCTTGTAAAATCACTTTCACCCTCACGTTTCGTCAGTATTTTAATCAATAGTCTCATGTAGGCAATGACACGGCCAAGTCCATCATATTTTCTGTTTCCAAAACATTCTTTTCGCTACTCTGATTTTTTGTAAGTGCCTTCGTATATGACCTCTGCACCTGTCTAGGAACGAAAACTAAAGACGATGAACTTTTACTAGGATATGCAATAGGTAAGTGACTGTCGTTAATATTAAAATTCACTGGGATAGTAGGCTTTGCTGAAGAAGGAGGGAACATCTTAGTTTTCTGATTTTTATTCAATTGAACCCTCTTTTGTTTTGGCTGTTCCTTTTCGTTTTCTGGCTCCTCGACATCCATTTTGTCTTTTGGCTCGTTTCTTATAGAATGAAAAGCATTGTCGTAACGGAAATTTTTTGGGAACTTGTGGACTTTTATACAGTGTTCCCTTCTTTCTATTGCATTTTTACTTTTGACGTCGCATTCAGAAAGATAACATTGATACTATAAAAAGGTGTAAATATTAATGAAAGCATTAATATATGGAAGAAAATGAAAGTTATATAAATACCATTGGCTGTTTCTCAGATAGAACTTGGAAAAAACTGTCATGATTTTCTTGAAGATGAATATCCAACAATCTCGGATTTGGCAAAAATTTTCTGCACTCTGCACAAACGTACCGATGACTACTATTGTAGTGTATTTCATACTCTACTAAAGTTTTGAATGTGGCATCACAGCCAGTGACGAAACATGAGAATTGTTTTATGCTGAAATGAATAATAATACACCGCATTAGGTTATGTGATTCTTTAGAATAATTATAAGGAATAAAAGCGTTTATTTACAAGTCGTGACATAATTCTTCGTCATCTTCAACAATGACACCTTTCCGCTGGAAAATCTTACAAACTCGGTATGAATCTTCAAAAAATAGGTCGTTTACAGGTCTCAAACCGATACCTATGTCTTGTAAAAATTCCTCCACCTTTTCCATAATATAATACACTTAATAAACTTATACTAAACTAAATAATAAGGTACTTATTAAAGCACTTGTGTATGATAACTTTATTCGTTGAACAGCCAACATTGAATCGTCTCGATGACCGTTACATTAGTACAAAAAAGAAACATTGCGACTGTGGCGTCCTCTGCTCGATGTTATGCATACTCAAATCGATAACTATCGATACCGTCGCGATAACATTACGAGAATCGAAATTTGAAATTAATACCGTTAAATAGTATAGGATAAAATATATCACCTTTCTGTATAACGATAAGGTTCATTATGGTCCACTTTTTCTTATTAATCTTAATCACTCTTTGAGCTTTCGGTTATATTAATGTCATATATTGTTACCAGCAAACTATTATAATAATTTGAATAATGAAATGGGAAAGCATAGATAATGTATTTACATAATGACAGCAATTTATTCGACAAGCAAACGAGTCTTCAAATTTTCCAGAATTTCGGACATCTTGTTCTCCAATTCGGTACGTCTCTGCATCTCGTCTCTTCTGTCCTGTAACATGATTGCAACACAATCAATTATATTGGCAGGAAATGCAGAGCAACGTATAACTTTAGGAGAATAATGGAAGTCATTATTTTTGTATTAATGAAAGCAGTATATCTTTCTATTTCATGAAACTTCAACATTTTACAACATTCAAGTACTTTTATTATAACAATACTATTCTAATAAAATATTCCATAAATCCACAATCGACTTGAACAATTTCATCTACCGCAACATACATACCCGTTCGTATTGGATATCACTGAGATAAATATTGCCGCTCCAAATGATTACAGCATGTGAACGTAATTAAAGTAACTAATTGGCCTGTTCAGTTCGACATCTTTCTGTCCTAAACCACCCACATCGAGCTCGCCAGCCGAGTAACTTCCAGCTGCGACTTTCTCGCCTCTGTTTTCTGGTTCACTGGCATATTTCGTGAAACTTTCGTCATGCCTAATGCCGTCCTGTCGCGGCGCAATGACGCTAACTGCTCTTTCATTCTCCATTTTTTGGACCTGGTAATTCATCGCAGGAAAATGATAATATCCTGGCGCTGATCTCTCATACGAAGTCGGTGGCGTGTACTTAGGCACCGCAATTTGAAACCCTCGTGGATTCCTCGCATCAGACAACTTCATGTTATCCGCAGGAGGTCTCTCAGTGAAGTAGCTTTCCGAGACAGGCTCGATCTTTCCGATGCTGCGCTTCAGACCCTCGAACCTCTTCGAGAATGAACTCGACGTTTGCCGAGCGTGTGGCAGAACTTCGATGATGGATCGGCTCGTGACGCCATAGTCGTCGTTCGTACTATACTTATAGCGGTCCCAGTGGTCTTTTGTCTCTGCACTCTGAGGAGGACCTCGAAGCAGTTGTTTCATATTCGGAGTTTCGGATTTCTTTCGGTTGTCTCTCTTTATTGGCTCGGAAGGCCTCGAAGACACTGTGCGAGGTTTATGGCCTTCCTTGAATAACTCGTAAGAGTTGTTCTCCGAAGGCACACGACTCCTCTGACCTGGACTCTCAGCAGTCGCGTGTCTTTCGAGTTTCCGGGCCTCTTTCATTCTTCCATTCCCGGACTCAATTTTACGAGCGACAACCGGCGCCTTGACGAATCTGCGCCCCAGCTTCCCTGAAACATCGTCCGTTTGGATGGTGCCATCCAGCACGAAATCAAACGGAGCTGGCCACAGCTGCAGTTCCTTCTGCTCGCCTTCGTGAAGCTTCTTCGGCAACTGTCTATCTAAGATACTCGGTTTCGGCTTCAGGTCCTTCTTCGGGTTCCTCGAATCTTTGCCTTGAATCTTCTTGCCGCTGTCTTTGTTGGCTACCTTAACTCTGTTCGGTTTCTCGATCGTGGCTACTCTGGACTTGGCAATCTTCGCGTCCTCGGGGACGGAGACGTACCTAGCAGGCACGATCAGAGGCATGAAGCTGCTGTAGTCTACTTCTTCGTTCGACTTTCCACCCGACCGAGATCGATTCCCTCCAGCTGGTAAAAATTTGTTCGGTAGCTTGACCGGCTGGTCGGGCGCGTCTTCTTCAAGGTTCTTATCATCGCCCTTCCTCTTCGTGTCCCCGTCGTCCTCCAAGCTGTACTCTTCGTACTTGTTCCTCGCTGGAAGATCGATCTCCTCTCTCCTCTCACCGCTCTCGTCTTCGTCTTCCTTCGAATAATCCCCTTCCTTCAAGGCCTCCTTAGCATCCTGGCCGCCTGGCAATGGATACAAATTGCTATCCCTAAACTGATTGAAGAAGTTAGCAAACCCGTCAGCCAACTCGCTGCTGTTCAGTAGCTCGCCGTAACTGTTCCTGAGCTCCTCGGGCCACTGGTGTTCGTGATCCCCGGTGATCGGCAGGGTCTCGAACGGAACGTTAGTATAGTTATCACTGATCGGTAACTCTTCCTGCTGTTTCAGCGGCTTCTGGTCCTCGTAGTCTCGACTCCCGTCGTCCTCGTCCTCCTGCGACTCGTCCGGACTCCTATCTCGGTACTTCTCCGAAGAACCATCGTCCTCCGCCGAAGAATAGGCGTCACTGTAGCTGTCCTTTTCTTTGTCGTTGCATCTGGAGTCCTCTGTCCCTTTCCCGTCGCTCCACTTGTGATCCTTGTTGTTATAATCGTCATCCTTCACCCGCGTCCTGAATCGCTCCTGCTGCCTCAGTCGTTCGGCTTGCTCGGCTTGTTTGCGTTCCAGCTCGGCCAGTCTCTCCTCGTATTCCCTCTTCCATGGCGGTTCGCTCGTGGAAGCGAAACCGACCGGCGTCGGCGGCGATTTCACTTCCTGTCCGTTTTGAGCCGGTCGACTTCCTACCGTCTGGTTCGTCGAGCTCTCGTTCTTCCTATTTACCGTTCCCGGTTGCGTCTGAACGGGAACGTATCGGATAGGGACGATCGGCGGATAGGACAGCATGATGTCCTGCGGAGGAATCTCTGGCAGCGGCGGCTGCCGCATCACCGGCAGCGGGATGTTCACCAGGAACGGCTGGCGTTGGTCCAGAGTCGGCGCCGCTGTTGTCGGGGTGGTTGCGTTCGTGGGGCTCGTGGCATTGCCGGCCCCGTGGAAGATCTGCTCGTACTCCTGCAGCTGGTTCTGCAAGCTGCCGTTGTTGCCAAAGTTTAAGACACCGGTGAATCTGATCGTCTCCCGCTGTCTGGGCGAGACTGTCGTCGACGAGCCAGACGCATTAGCGGCCTGTTGCGTTTGATTGGTCGCGGATAACGCGATCACCGTGGGCGGCTCTGGATTGGGCAACGAGGCTACCTGAATGGGGCTGACGTCGTAGCCGAAAACCTGCGCTAGGCCCGAGAGAATCAGACCCAAGGCCCGCTTGTCGCGCGGATTGCTCTCGTCCAAATACAGGTTGAGCTTCTGCGAGTCCAACGATTGCGCGATGGTCAAAGTTGCAGGGTTCTGTCCGCGGTTCTCTTCGGCAGCCAGCGAGCGCAATAAGCACAGGCAACACAGAGCGTAGAAAGTCCTAAGTTTCATCGTTGAGGACACTTTCTATCAGGAAGTTCGCTGGACACTTTTATGCACTGATCGTAGGGGAACACGGTGCCATTTTTTGGTCACGTTGTCCTCGAGTTGCGAACCTTTTTTTTCGAGTTTACATTTTATGCGGGTGTTTGTCTCTTAGAATCGACGATCGAGGTTCGATTGTGGTGGCTAGGCTTAGAAGAGGTTCGGATTAATTGAGACCTGCGAACGGTTCCATCACGAGGTAGACGTCCGCGTGATCCTGCGCGCAGCACCTTCAAACTTCGGCAGCCACCGGGAACTGTCTGCCGACTGACTCGCTCAAACGTCGTTAAACAAAGTGCCGCGGACAGTGGGAGGGGGGCGAATTTTTGCATAACCTCGGAAAGAAATGTCGAGTTTCTCCTCAATTGCACAGACCTGGCCGCTGATTTGCGACAACTGAAGCGGCACGGCGCACCGCGGGAAAGAAACGCCGCGGAACACCGCAGAATCGGGCGGCCGACGTTTCTTCGGCCCAGCACAATAGATTCTAGGCTGGTTTAATTGCACGCGTCCTCCCGGGGACTTAATTAGAGGAAGCAACCTTAACGAAGTGAGAGCACGAGCCATCGGCCAACCGCTAATTACTTTCGGCTTTATTCCACGCGACGCGCAACGGTTTACCGGCAATGAAAAAGATTTCCAGCGTACTGTTGTAGTCTGTTGATCGCTGAATTATGGATCTTTATGCAAATAAAGTGTTCCGTAACAAGCGGAATAATTAAAAAATCTCATTCGCCGATATGAGCGCTTTCCTGTAGTTTACAAATTTGCATGAACACCCGGAGTCTAGTTATTGCTTTCGAGTTCTCTCAACAATTTCTTATTAATAACCGCAGAATTTTAGAAAACAATCTATAGAATTTAATCATTGTATTTCGAACGCTTTTGAGAAAAATGTTGAAACTCTTCGAAGATGAAGGTTAAACAAACGAAGAAACGAGAGAAAATTTCCTGTCTTAACGAGACAGGATGTATAACGTGCATCATCTCGTCCATTTAAACTTTGCTAAGCAGCATATCTTTTTGTTGCAAACTATTTCCATTACGCAACACCGTAATTTCTCAAGACCCGAACGTCCGAACAAGCTTTTTATCCACCAGGATTGTCAGCGACATAGAACGTGTTGTGCAAAACAGACCGTTCAAACTCGACACTTCTTTTTCAAAGGCTAAGAAATTAATTTCTCTTTCATCTCGTGCACCGATATTGCGATCGGGGCCGTATCGATAGTTCCGCAATATAGGAAATCAGCCTATTAACGAGATTCCACGACGAAGAATTTAATCGGCCGACGACGCGGCCGAGAGAGCAAGTGAAAATGGATGCACGATACGTGCACGCAAGCACGCGGAATTGTTGGCACAATGAGACACAGTTTTGATCGACGAGAACCGTTGCGAAATTGAGGATCGCTCCGATCCGCAACGACAGTCCAGTTACAGTAATCGAATCGAGTTATCGGCGAATTGTTGGCCAATCGGCGACGCGCCGTTAGGAACAATCGACCGACTCAAGTTTAGGTATTCGCCGTGGCGTAGCTTTCATAAGTATGTCGATTATGTCACCTGTTCTCCACCCAGAGAAAGTTCGAACAAACGTTGTCGCGTCGCCGTCGATTTCCTGGACTGGTGTTGACAAAAACCTCCTTAAGAGGACAATCGCACCGCCGCGGCAGGGGACACCAAGGTGGAAAAAAATCCGCGGATTTAACGAAGTTTCCAGTCGCGAAACTGTTCAGGAAAAGGGCCCCGTTTTTATGTAACCACCAGTTCCTGCTCCCGATCTGTCGTGACCCCGGGAATGGTGCTGCCGTTCCAAATCTCTGTCCGATCGACTGCCATGTTGGTAATTGCTTAATTACTTTTGCCAGGATAATCACGGGATGCGCGAAACACGATGAATTGCGTGCCGCTTTTGGGAACATTCTCAGGAATATTATTTTCATTATGCCCGCGCGAGACAATGCGAGATTTTAATATCGCGTCGGTGGAACAGCTTTGGAATACTACGCAGATTAGTATACAATGGCACTGTTGCGTCGTCGCCGGATACCTGAGTTTCGATGCATGTTTAACGCGTGTTTCTCTCTGTTTCGTTAAATTCTGCAAGACGAGATGCTTGTTATTGGGCCGCGGATTCTATGCATTTACGGCGGAAATTCGTGAGTCGAATTGAAAACAGCGAGACGATTCGACGAAACTGAGAACGCTGGTGTACTAATTTCAACTTATCAAAATTATTACGAAAATAAAATACAGAATAAAATTAAACTTGGCTCATGTGTGTTGCGATTGTTACAGAAAACTTGTATTTCGCACAGAAATCCGCGGTCTACGTATCGTGAACAATGTTATGAACATGAACATGTTAAATGGAAGAGACACGATCAGCCACGGAGATGATTTATGTCTATCAATTTAGAATTCTGTGGACGACAAATTACCATTTTTCATAGCACGCCGGTTTAGGAGTACACGACCACTTTTCACAATGATTAATATCGAAGTAGCAATCCGAATCTGGTAATTGGATGGAATTAGCAAAAACCTGGAGACCTCGAAGAAGAAAATCATCGCATAATAGGAGATTTCTCCAATTAAGTCCGGGATACCCAATTAGTAACCGATCGATCATTCGTTACAGGCGCACAAATCATAATTGCGTCTAGACTGTGGCAAATTTTTCGTTGTTTCATTGTCGCAATTAAAGCAAAAATCAGGCTACATTCGGCCCCGACGGACAACAATGGTACCAGTCCGTCTGCATTTCAATTAAGAAACTTGATCAGAACTGGCCAGAACACATGTTCCGCATGCACATGCTCCCTAAGCTGAAACCAGACGAACGGATCGTCGATGGGCTAGTTGTTACGTGGTTCGGTCACCCCGTAAATGGAAACTGTATCGAGAACCCGTCAATCGGGGGAATTAGAAAATGCTCTGGCGGATCTGGGGCCGGGCATACATAACGCCATCAGCAATTTCCATAGGGTGGCGGGTATAAAAGAACGGCCCACCCCATGGACCACACAGTGCAACTGTGAGCCAGAGCTTAACTATGAATCTTCTGGTAAGTCGTTCTCCCGTATCAGTGCAACAGTGTTCGCGCGGTTCAGTGTCGATCTGGTGATATCATGATTACAGTCGCTGCTATTGTTGGTCGTCTTCGCGTTGGGAGCTTGTGCCACCGTGCCCGAGAAGCTGACGAGTAGCAACGAGGCTCCTGAACAGGCGGCGGCGGAGAATAAGGCACAGGCGAACCCTCAGGAGGAGCTCGGCGATAAGAAAGTCGCCAAGAGAAGTTATGGGTGGGGGCCGTGGGGTTATGGAGGATATAGCTACGGATGGCCTTGGTACGTAGATCATTGATCTGCAAGTCACTACGATCGAGACGTCGAGATTCCTTCGTAAAGCTCACTTCTTCAAAATTTTCCGACCGGATGTCGCTCGTACTAAATTAATTCATTGAAACAACTAAATAACGCGATTGCCAGAATTTTTTAACCAGAACATTTATAGCGTATTCGAACTTGTAAAATACTAGATGTCTATGTTAATTAACATTGGTAGCATTTTTGTTCTATTTTGACCTGGAGGAATCCTCAAGTATGAAAATGGTACGTCCACAGGCTGATTATAATAACTCTGCATGTTTCCGGTCGCATGCTACGTCGCCTGCCGAAGAGTTACCTTAAAGAAGAAAGCTATTTGCATGAACGTCGACAATAGTCTTCAGGGCTAGTGTTCACGGATTTTGTTTTCAGGTACGGTTGGGGGCACGGATGGTATCCTGGATGGTACCCCGGATGGCCCCTGTTTTATGGCGGCTATGGTGGTGGATACCATAGTTACGGCCACGGTGGCTGGTACAAAGGATGGTAGTTAGAAGAAGATTGAGTCGTCAGCTTCATAAATATATACCACTATTTCTCTGGTGCTTAAGAGTTTCTGCACTAAATAATTCTTGGATTCACCGGAGCTCCTGGGTTTCGTTTAAACGGAAGGAGATCGAATATCATGCTACTAAGACTGAATATTATACTAAACTGTGTGGTACTGCGAAAAGGTATCGGAGCTTGGAGATGTTATCATTGTTGAGCCTGAATGAAATAAAGTGAAGAGTAACTCAGAACGATTGTTCGATGTTTTCTCTGTGCGTTTTTCCGGCATTTCGTTGCTTCGCACGCGGAGAAAGAAATAACTAATTAATTTATATATATATATTATAATAAATATATATATTATTATATATATTATAATAAATAAATAATTTTTGTACATCTAGGCGCGATTTTTGCGATGATTTGCGATGGGTGGAATAAATAGTAAGAAGTAAAAGAGGTGAATTAATTTGCACGTACCCTTAGACGCTTTCTCATATAATTGGCCAATATTTCTTCGCACTCGGTCAGATTTTTATCTGTATCCTGTTGGAAAATATATAGTTATTACACGGTGCAAAACGATGATCGAATTATTGTGAATCAACCTTCAAGATGTTCGTCAGCTCCTTGATCTTCTGTAGCTTCGCTTGCTGTTCTACCGTGGGATTATCACACACTTGTTGCGAATTTGTTGCGTACATTGCAAGGAGAGTCGGGGAACGTTTTACTTTTTCTGCTTTCGCCGCAGAAATCCATAACACTTGTCGTTCGTCGAGACATTCCGTATGCACCTGATATGCGGCATATTGTTGCCTGGAGACGAGTAAGACAACACAAGAAGTATCGGATATTTCTCATGAATACCGGAAATAATCTTACTTCAATGCATTTTGATATCGCGGAATGCAAAAATCTCATATTCGCGAAGTTTACGCGTGATTTTGTTGCCGTTTGCTTCGGCTTGTCTTCGTTCGTTCTTTACCGATTGCTGTTACAACAATTCTGGTTTACTTGCTGTCGGTATGGAGGGAAGTTTTATTACCAGCGTATAGTTCAGAAAATCTGTTCTTAATAAACCGTAGGTGAAATTGTTTTCGACTTCTACGTTGATATCGGGACTTTAAATTGCAGAAGTTCAAGTTCATATTTGAAAATGAATATATTTAAAAGTTTTAAAGACCAGGGAAAGATTTATAGGAATTTTCTCAGTGGCATTGTTCAGTGATTCTAGATGTTGAAAGTTCCATAAGTAATCAACGAATTTATTGCAAGAGAGAAGCTCGATAAAATAATTTTTCCTGCAGCATTAAAATGTTCGTAGGTTGGAACATTTTGAATATGCTTTATTGATCGACAGCCGCATCGATTGTTTCGTACGAAATTTCTTCGTCAGATGGCGCGCAATAGGATATTCAGTAAAATAATTTAAAAAAAATGAACCGACCCTTCAACATTTCGACGCAGTTTATAAACGTATCAAACGATCGAACAATTTGATAATGCGTAAAAATACTTCACAGTACATGTTTCATAACTCATCTAATTCAAAAAGAAAGCAGAATTATTATATCTTTCATTTTTGAATCGCAAGCAACTATTTTGTACACTGTGCTAACGAATCGGACGAAAAATCCAAACGAACGATCGATAACATAGAAAATCCGCGAGGTCGATAACACAGCGATTTTCGAGTCTGGAGGATTTCGGCAGCCTGAGATTGGCAACGGTTGATTCCGTCACGAGGTGACGTCACAGTGCTCGAGCTCTCGAGCGTTCCTAGCGGCAGTTCTCGAAAGTACGTTCACTCGATAGAACGACTGTCGTCTGGTGCACGACGAGCTTCAAGCAATATGGCGAAGTGTGTCATGGGCTCGGTGAGACGTAGTGCCGTTTGAAAAGATGAAAGGTTCGCGGTATGGGTTGAGAATAATGTAGCGCTATGAAGATCGTGTGAAGATTCTATTTGTGTATAAAAAAGCATCGAGCAGTTCCTTGTGATCGGGATATACAGTGCGCGTTACCGGTGTGAAATCATGGCTACGGATAAAATAAAGGTTGCCGTACGGGTCCGGCCGTTCAATCGGAGAGGTACGTATCCGTTCAAAACGTCCCTGTCTGTTGTCCGGGAAGGTCCAAGACACGTCCGGGCACGGTCACCGTTTTTCGGAGCAGTTCCTGTTACCGCGGCGGCTCCGATTTCGAAATCCTCGATTACCATCGCGTTAGGATCGCGCGACGTTTTGACAGTGTCATTTTTTTCGTCCTCCTCGTCGCCCCGTCCGGACCAGATGGTGTTTTCACCTGCTGCGGGATATCGTGGCTCGTTATCGCTACACGTATCCTTATCTCGCTTCTTACATCGGTTGCTCGATAAAAAGGAAGCGTGGCGAACTCGAACACTACGGTAGCCCCCTTCGACGAGTCACATCATCTCTAGTGTTTACTAGTTCGGTCCGTCTCCCTTCGGCTCTCTTTCTCTCCCTCTCTTTCGCTCCTTTGTCCGAAATACGGATTCTGACGTGTCCGTGCCTCTCGGCTGTCGTCGCGTTGTCTCCGGGTCCTGCCATGATCCTCGGCGGGGACGCCGACGTGGAGATCCTAACGGCCGTCCGTTAAAATCCCCGAATGCTGTTCCGCGAGAGACGTTTCTTCCTCTCCTCGGTTTCTCTCGCGCGCAGTATCTGCTCGGCTGTAAACCCGCGTGACACAAAGAACAAACATGTGACTAAAATGCTAGGTAGTGTGACGTTACGCGACAGCGACCTTCGGACATCGGGCATCATTCGATCGGGCACACGCGTCTCGCGCGACCGAATCCGATCGATCTGTCAGTACAGGGAAATCACGATCGATTTGCGATGCCACGTTTCCCGATGTCAAAACGTCTCGATCGTTCTATCGGCGTGACCCCTCGGCAGAGCGTAATGGACAGAGAATCGTTAACGCGGTGTTTCTTGGTCGGATTCGATAAATATTGGGCTGGAGGCGAGCTTAATTGATGAGACGTCGCGCGTCCGGTTAATAGGTTTGTGTAATACGAGATGACAGTCTGTGTCGTTTTAGTCACCGGAGCCCATTCACAGTGTCGTTTTTATATCGTCGTAGTACTATTATCTCTCTACTAGACATGCGTATATCGTGTATTAGGGACTCGGAGCGATAGTCGTTGAATTGTTGCACTACGGAACGTACTTCTAGACGGATCGTGAACGTATATATATATAATAGATCGAAGGATCCGTCGATTCGAGTGTACTTGTCATATCGATGGCTTTCTCGTACCTGTTTGTTCTCCGTTAAATAAGGTTCGAACAATCGATAATTTAGACATTATTTGGCGATGTAATGTACTTTGTATTGATGTATTTAAAAAAAAAAGAAATTGTGCGACTTAAAATTGAACTACGTATTATCCGGTTGGAGCTTCGATGTCACAGCTGTTTAAAATGATGCGCCGTAGTGGATAATTTACCGCGACATTACATGACCACACAAGGTTGTGTACTTTGAAGTAGAGCCTTTTTCTGCCGATTCTCTACCTGTTCGGCAGAACAAAAAATTGCACGTCTCGTTGTTTCGCGTGACACGTTTCGCGTATTGACGCGTTTACGCCTGTCGTCGGCTGTTTTGACGTAACTCGCGAGCGAGACGGCGCGCAGCTTGTAATCGGAATACATATCGTTGGTTCACGCGCTGATAAAGAAAACGTCATTAGCGCCGCCATTGCCATTACCGTGACTTTTACGCGCGCGGATTTCAGTGTCAACTCGCGGTTTCCGGGAAATGGGATGTTCTGATAGAATCGCGAAATTAATGGTAATTAGAGCTGTTTTCTCTTCGATATGAACAGGATAATATTAATTATTTCAAATTACTACTATTTAATAATAGGGACGACACGCGGTTTGAACCATAATTTAAATGTCGCGGGGAAAATCGCACGGAAAAGATATATAGCCGTTTATAGTTAGCTGTAAACATTTGTTCTCCCTTATAAAGAACGTAACAAGACTGCTGATAGTAATGTCCCATATGGATAAAATCTTATAATAAATTTTATGTAAAGAGTGTTATTATTTCCAATGTTATGCCATTTTATAGTTTAATTATAGTTTATTAATTACTGAGAAAATCATCTGCGAGCAAAGGGCTAATTTTATGCTAACGTTAAGCGTTTACGAACTGATTTATTTTAGAATGATAATCGATGATAATTTGTCTTCAATTACAGCGAAATTTTGGCTTGTGTTATTGGCTTGTAATATTGTAATATTGTAAATTTTGGCTTGTAATATTGTAATATCTGTCTCTTATACACATCTACATTTGTTCTCCCTCATAAAGAACGTAACAAGACCTGTCTCTTATACACATCTACATTTGTTCTCCCTCATAAAGAACGTAACAAGACCTGTCTCTTATACACATCTACATTTGTTCTCCCTCATAAAGAACGTAACAAGACCTGTCTCTTATACACATCTACATTTGTTCTCCCTCATAAAGAACGTAACAAGACCTGTCTCTTATACACATCTACATTTGTTCTCCCTCATAAAGAACGTAACAAGACCTGTCTCTTATACACATCTACATTTGTTCTCCCTCATAAAGAACGTAACAAGACCTGTCTCTTATACACATCTACATTTGTTCTCCCTCATAAAGAACGTAACAAGACCTGTCTCTTATACACATCTACATTTGTTCTCCCTCATAAAGAACGTAACAAGACCTGTCTCTTATACACATCTACATTTGTTCTCCCTCATAAAGAACGTAACAAGACCTGTCTCTTATACACATCTACATTTGTTCTCCCTCATAAAGAACGTAACAAGACCTGTCTCTTATACACATCTACATTTGTTCTCCCTCATAAAGAACGTAACAAGACCTGTCTCTTATACACATCTACATTTGTTCTCCCTCATAAAGAACGTAACAAGACCTGTCTCTTATACACATCTACATTTGTTCTCCCTCATAAAGAACGTAACAAGACCTGTCTCTTATACACATCTACATTTGTTCTCCCTCATAAAGAACGTAACAAGACCTGTCTCTTATACACATCTACATTTGTTCTCCCTCATAAAGAACGTAACAAGACCTGTCTCTTATACACATCTACATTTGTTCTCCCTCATAAAGAACGTAACAAGACCTGTCTCTTATACACATCTACATTTGTTCTCCCTCATAAAGAACGTAACAAGACCTGTCTCTTATACACATCTACATTTGTTCTCCCTCATAAAGAACGTAACAAGACCTGTCTCTTATACACATCTACATTTGTTCTCCCTCATAAAGAACGTAACAAGACCTGTCTCTTATACACATCTACATTTGTTCTCCCTCATAAAGAACGTAACAAGACCTGTCTCTTATACACATCTACATTTGTTCTCCCTCATAAAGAACGTAACAAGACCTGTCTCTTATACACATCTACATTTGTTCTCCCTCATAAAGAACGTAACAAGACCTGTCTCTTATACACATCTACATTTGTTCTCCCTCATAAAGAACGTAACAAGACCTGTCTCTTATACACATCTACATTTGTTCTCCCTCATAAAGAACGTAACAAGACCTGTCTCTTATACACATCTAGATGTGTATAAGAGACAGTTGTAATATTGTAAATTTTGGCTTGTAATATTGCTTAATCTATGTAAGGAAAATAGACTAATTTGTGGGGTAGAGGTCGGTCTGTGCAATTCGAGGCTAATCACGCCCAGAAAGCAGAAAATCACCTCGCGACCTCCCTTTGTAAGCGTTAGACGCGTCATTACGCATACAATCGGTAGTACAATGGCAACAGCCGTATCGCGCGTTGCTACGGTAATGTTCATTTAACCATTGTGAGAGCAACTGGTTACCTGCTTCCACATTTCCGCTATCAATTTTTCACCTTATGGAAGCGTCGCATCGACGCATCTCTCTCTCTCTCTCTTTCGACTTATCACTCCAAAATAAAAATTTATAGGGAAACTTCGAGCCGTCGAAGCTTCAAACGTGCGTGAAAAATTTAATATTGGAACTTTCACACTTTCAAACTTGCACCCTCTCAAAATAGAAATTGATGAAAAAATATTTAAACATCGAAGCTCCGAACTTGTATGAAAAATGACGCACTAAAAATGGTGCATATAAAAAAATGACGCGTTAAAAATGGTGCATAAAAAATGACGCGCTTGAGTTCTAATATTAAAACTTGCAGGACTTATACCGAGGAATCTGTATATGTATGCTGTAATCGGTGCTGCTTTATAAGTATGACAGAACTGAATTTATTTAGAATAAGCTCGAATAAAGTAACTTTCTTAAGAAAGTGTACATATAATCTCAACAATTTCGAAATGGAAAACGTGATACCGGCATGATAGTGTTAACATATTTATATAAAAAATAAGTTAACTTATCTAAGTTCTTATCTAATTTGATTCTTAACTTATCTAACTTATCCAATTTCTCTATCAACTTGGTTCTAACTTATCTAATTTAATTCTCCGAACAACATTATCTTGATACTTTTAAAAATCCTTGTCCGCGAAGGCTTAATATCGAAGCTCGCAACTCCGCGCGAAGAATACAGCGTTAGCTAATAAATTCCACCGAAGAATTTCATATTATAAAGTGTGAAAACTTTCGGAGTTCGTTCGGCCCCGCGTAGTCCGTTAATGAAGCGGCAGAATTACCGGAATTTGGTTCGAATCGAGGGGAATACCGCGGAGGTTGTGGAATGGAAATCGGAAACGAAGCTATCCGATCCATTTTCGCGAAAAGAACGTGGAAAATAATGTGCCGTTCCGTCGACGTTCGTTTTCAATCGGGACGGGCATCGATATATCGCCGGTTCGGCTGAAAAGCCCGGGCACGATCGAGATCGACGGCGCGAAGATCTCGCGCAGTTTAAAGCAGTGGCACAGAGTATCGAGCGACACGTTTATTGGGCAATATTTCCCCGATTTCCCGGCGATATATCGAGGTGCCGCGCGGTGCCGCTCGTGCTCGCATTAAAAATAAAATTACGGAAACCAGGGCCGTTTCGCCGGTGTTTATTTTTCGTCGCCGCGGGAACACGCCGCGATCGCCGCGCGAAAACAAACAGAAGCACCGTGATATAAATTCGAAGATCGTACGGACACACGCATAGATTGTCCCCTGTTCGTGCCGGAACGATCCATTCACCGACACGGTTCAAACAAATAGCTAGTAGCTGCGCGAGCTTATGCAAATAAACATTTTCATTGAGGTGTCCTGAGGAATCGAATGGCGCTTCGATATTACCAGACTTAAGGCGAGCTTTTTATGATTATTTTCTGGAAGATAAAAAAAATGAAAGACGGACGCCATTTTGCGACTCGAAGATACATTTTCCATGCACAAGAGCTTGTGTTACGAGGGTATCGAATGACGAGAATTTTTTAAAGATCCTGAACCGTGAACACGTGCGTCTCGAAACGCGATAAAACGTAAAAGCAAATCTTCGCGGAAGTATAAAGTCGCGAGTCCTGAGCAATACTTTTAACATAACCGAATAAACGTTCCCAGTGTGTTTCGCTTGGCACATAATGTCGGCCAAATGATGGCCGCAGCCTCTCCTCGAACAATGCCATAAACAGGTCATTGAAGTGCATCGAGTCTGCATGCAGCCGCACGTCGCAGTGTAGCAAATGTAAAAACTAAGCCCGGCCAGGGACGCTAACAAGGATGCTCGACCCTTTCCTGCATTCTCTGCAGCTCTCTTTCTAAATTCAAGTTCGAGTCGTTTCACCTGCGCTGCGACCCATTGCTTGGACCTCCGGCCGGGTGCGCACGTGACCTACATTTCAGACATCATCAAATACAATCCTGGTAACGTTGTTACTGCGACGGTGGAAAGAAAATGGCAATGGGTCGGAAGGTGTGGCGGACCTTGCTTTCTTTTTCCGATTCGGCGGCCTGTTGAGTGGCTATTGTCTTTTCCATAGCCTGTCTGGCGAAATTAGTTCGCTCCTAATTACTCATCCTTCTTAAGCACAAATCTAGCTGCTAATTACACGATGTACGCGCACCGATCTCATCGATGTTCTTTAAAATACGTTGCGAGCAAAGTACAGTAATGTCTCCCTAACTGACGCTCAGATTGCGCACAAAAATGGACAATTTGGGAAGAGAAGATACGATTGTTCGAGCCTTGTAGCTCGTGCTTTTTATAGTTGTTGACAATTCGTAACTATGAAAACGAACCGCAAGCCTCGAATAATCGTGTCTCCTCTCCCCAAATTGTCCATTTTTGTGGACAATCTGAGCGTCAATTGGAGAGACATTACTAGCAAATTCTAAAAAGAAATTGCAATAGAATGCAAGCTTGCAAGTCAGTCGTTCTCATCAAAGCAGATAAATCCGGTTTGTTTATAATTTTTTGGCGGTAGAATTTCTGCTTTTCGAAACCGAGTCTACAATCTATCGTATATTAATATCTACTTCATCTGTACGATTCGAATTTTATAAATCTATCACATTTCTTTCTTTTCTTGCAAACCATCTATATCTATCTCTATCACAACCGAATAGTGGTATAATTCCGTATACCAATTGGTTTTTCGCCCGTATAATGAATAAATAAAA